CGCCTGTGGCGCGAGCGAAAGGCGTTTCGGGCGAAGCGGATGTTATATTCGTGTTCAGGAGGTCGAAGTACCCCTACGAGCAAATTTTCAGCCAAATCTGCCTCTGTAGAAAAAGGTCAGCGAAAAACCGGCCTGATTTCGGCCGATTGAGGTAGGAATAGTTCAATAGTGCCGATTCGCCTAAGGAAAAAGGAGACTAATGACCAAAAGGAGCGAATAGGCGTGTGTACTCCCGGGAGTAAAAATTATTACCAAAAGGAGCGAGTAGGTGTGTGTACTCCCAGGGTATCCTATTTGCCGAAAGGGGAGTTTTTGCGTGTACTCCCCGGAGTACACGCCATCTTCGAGCGTGTAATTAATCGTATCAAATACCTTTGCAAAATCAGCCGTGTCGAAGTTTAGTCCTGAATCGTCGAGAGGAGGACAGTGGTTTTCAACCTCAGAAAGGTAACGCCGCATGGAGCAGATCGACCTTAACAGCGATTATGATTCTAATGAAAAAAATGGGCATTATTTACCCTTTATTGCCCCCAATCATTCGAAATCAGGCCAGTTTTTAACCGCTTTTTTTCCTCGGACACAATTGGCTAAAGATTTGTGTCATGGGGTATCACATGCGCTTGGCCCGAAACCTCCCGGCGCGCGCGCCACAGGCGCTGACATCAGGAGACTCTAAATCACCGGCGAATGCGGCGCAGGCGTCAGCAGGTTTCGAGTTAAGCAGGAGCCGAATCTGTCCACGGAGTAGGTCAATAACTAGCTTCATTTCGGATGATTGGGACAGTAAAGGGTAAATGGTACCAAAAAATGTATTAGGTTGACCCGTAAGCAGCGGTGTTTTTTTTTCTAACTTGCAATTTTGCGTCACATATGAAATATCATACGGAATTTTTTGCACTTTTTTGCACTATGGGTCGACAACTTTTTAAAGGATTCTATTTTTTTTTGCCCTGTGTGTCTGGGTCTGGCTGCGCTTCAATGATAACTTTTGAACTGCTGCAACGGTTGAATGGAAAGGTGTCTAGGACACATCGTTGTTGGGGAATCCCAACAGGATGGGGGTCGTATTTGGGCTGAGAAAAATTTATTTTGATAGTTGATTTTTCTCGCTTCACGGACGTTGTAAAGGGGGGGGGGTCGTATTTACTTTTTGGCCTTCTAGGAGTGGTGGGAGTGGTGGTTGAGTTTTCGTGATTTTCCTGTTTCATGGGTAGCACATACCCAAAAAAAGGGGGGAGTCCTGCGGACTCGACTAAAATCTCCAACCAATGATGCCAATGATGTGCTTGAATGTGTCGTGGTGTCGTGTATGTGATCAGATCTGTATTTGCAGCGGTCCAACGACTAGCGGTGGAGTGCAGTTAGCTATAGTCCCATAATTCCAACTGAATGGTTCACGTCCCGAAGTATAAGAGCAGTTCAGACATTGAATGATCTCACCCGTTAACGCCATAATCAGCATAGCATTGATGCGTCATCCATCCATTTCTCAACCACTTGATCTTTTCGTAGCAATGAGGGTACAACGACATATCTTCAGGAAACTGCATACATTCAATCGATTCATCGCCTAAAATTGCGTACTTATAACTCTCGCTTAGTGCACAGACATTCTCTGAAACGGGTTCTTCTATATGAACGCCTGAGTGGCGCGGAAATAACAGTGACACGGTCATTCGTTGTACAATCTTGTTCACTGCGCACGCTGGGGCGTGCAGAGGAAGGGTTGGGTTTGGCGCGATGCCAGCCTGTTCTCCAACATCTGTGGAAGCTGGCGGGAAACCAGGTGGAAGGTTAGCTCATCTAAGCGAGAATAAATAAGCCTAGTTAGAAGAGTTACGAGTACAGGTGTAGGATCATAACCTAGGACGGACCGCTGCACATCGCTCATATCTCCATCTCCAGACGAAGTTATTAAAGACAGCTCCCGCGATAAAAGTCTCATGGATAGCTGCTTTCCAATTATGAAACAGTAGCTGATAAGTAATCTCCCAAAGAAGAAAACAGGCAAGAAGCGTTGTCTATAGCGAATAGGACGTTTCGACCGCAATCGTCTCTTCCAGAGCCTGAACATGTATCATAGTTTTAGATCCGGCAACCTAACGCCGACCAAGCGCGCTCGCGACATCTAGCGGTCCGAATCATAGTGCGGGAAACCTTCGAAAAGTACCCACTACTGCAAGAAACAGGCTCACAGTTGTTCACCCTTTAAGGCGAGATAGGTCGCAGCCACACCACAGAGCTGTTAGTAGAGAAATGAAGAACCCTACATTGTCTCCATGTGATGACATATCGTGGAGACGCACGTCACGCTCTGTCATTTTACAGTCCGCAGTGGGGTATAAACGGTAGTAGGTCACTGGTGATGGAAGGACACTCATCTCGATTGTTCATTCTGGGTTTCCTAGTGAATATCCAGAATGCTTCTAACGCTTTTCTAGCTGAAAGTTCCGTCTCATTATATTAGCAATTGTGTTACATGCCCACACGGGAAGGTTGGTGACTGTGCGCAACTGGGAGTAATATATGAAATCCAGTGTCGGGAATGTAACTCTACATATATAGGGGAAACAGGAAGGGTCTTGGCAATTCGCATCAAGGAACACCTTGCTAGCATGAGGCGTGGTACTCTTACAACTGCTCTTGGGAGGCACAAGGTTGCTGAACACAATGGGTTGGAATTCGAAATAAAGTGCAGTGTGCTGGCAAATGAGACGGAACTTTCAGCTAGAAAAGCGTTAGAAGCATTCTGGATATTCACTAGGAAACCCAGAATGAACAATCGAGATGAGTGTCCTTCCATCACCAGTGACCTACTACCGTTTATACCCCACTGCGGACTGTAAAATGACAGAGCGTGACGTACGTCTCCACGATATGTCATCACATGGAGACAATGTAGGGTTCTTCATTTCTCTACTAACAGCTCTGTGGTGTGGCTGCGGACCTAATCCGTTAGAAGCTCCCCGGCGATAAAAGTCTCATGTAGCTCTTCGCCAAGTTATGAACACAGCAGCGTGATAATAATGTCGCCAGAGAAAAACCAGGCAAGAAGGCAGTTTTCTCCAGAAGCAAGCATAACAAACTCGCTCCCTCACAGTTCACACCTCCCTAGCGCGTCACTGTGCAACCCTAGCTTCACAAGTCTCTCTATCACATCTCGCAGTAGTTGATATCATCCAGTGCAAAAAAAATACAAAAAGAAAACAACAAAAACGCAGAGGAAAAACTCTGGGAAGGAAAAAGGAATTTTATCAACACGGTGTCTGAATTTGTGATTACGGTAGCGCACCTTTTGTGCGTCGTGGTTTTGCATCACGAAAATTGCGTCACTCGTGTTTTTTACGCGTTTCACCTCGCGAAATGGGTTGAATTGAATGTATATACCTCCAATGAGTAAACTGTAATGAAGGAGAGCAGAATTATCCAGGGGCATTAGCAATGCCCGCCGCCAACTAAGAACAAGTGAGTGGCCTCCGTCGGAGGACATCTAGCAAGTAAAGGCGGTCCGACTGAGGAGGAGTTAGAACTAGCACTTTGAGCGGCTATAGCAGCCTCCACGCTCACAATAGAGTCGCGAAAGGTGAACAGTCTTCTAGCTTGGAGGCTAGACTACTTGCACAGCAAAGGCGACCCCCACGAGCCCCTTTCGATCGGGGGGCTGTCGTTCAAAGGTGGAACAACTGGTGAGCCTGTTTCTTGCAGTAGTGGCGTCTTCTCGAAGGGTTCCCGACACTACGTCGGAACCGCTAGATTCGACGAGGCGCTTGGTGGGGTAGGTTGCGAATCTAAAACTTGAAACATGTTCAGGCCTCTGAAGACGACGATTGGGTCGAAACGTTAGGCCATTAATAAATGTTCCACCTATCAACCTCGTAAGGCACACAACAACTGAAAGACTTACAACTAAGATGCCGAGGTTGCAAGAAGAGAGAAGCTGGAGAATACAGGCAAGAAGCGTCCTCCAGAACAACATAAACAAAATCGCTCCCTCACAGTCACACCTCCCTGCGGTCTCTGTGCAACCCCTAGCTCACAAATCTCTCTATCACATCTCGCAGTAGTTGATATCATCCAGTGCAAAAAAGAATACAAAAAGAAAACAACAAAACGCAGAGGAAAAACTCTTGGAAGGAAAAGGAATTTTATCAACGCGGTGTCTGAATTTGGGATTACGGTAGCGCACGTTTTGTGCGTCGAGGTTTTGCATCACGAAAATTGCGTCACTCGTGCTTTTTACGCGTTTCACCTCGCGAAATGAGTTGAATTGAATGTATATACCTCCAATGAGTAAACTGTAATAAAGGGGAGCAGAATTATCCATGGGCATTAGCAATGCCCCCGCCCCAACTAAGAACAACTGAGTGGCCTCCGTCGGAGGACATCTAGCAAGTAAGGCGGTCCAACTGAGCAGGCGTTAGAACTAGAACTTACAGCGGCTGTAGCTCGCTTCTCGCTCGCTGTGCAGACGAATAGGGAGTGGGAGTCCTGCTAGTGGGGGCTGTACTACTTGCACAAGGAAGGACGACCATGTACTACTCGAGCGCGGGGGCTGTCTTTAACAACAATCTCCAGTCCGCCAACAATAATTGTATTATTAGCAGGGATGCGCGGTGCCGGGTGGGGGGGAGGGCATATACCCAATGTGAAACAGGGAAATTTCTGAGATTTTCCCGCAGTTTGCCAAAATTTCCCGAAAATTTCGGGTTTTCCCCGAAATTTCGCTCTGGGGTGGGGGGTCGTCAGGATTTAACTATCATTTTCAACTATCGAAATAGTAGTTGTATAGATCTTTGGCAGTCCCTCTCCCAACAACGACCAAATACGACCCCCTTCCCTCGCGGTCAAATACGTTCCTCGTTGTGATCATCACAACGATGGTGTGCTCTGATTATTAGATAGAAAAGTTGCATTCTAGCAATGAAAATGTATACTTGTAATCCGTGTACTAAAAGCCGGCGCAGTTCGGCTTGGTGTGGGTACTGAACGATACACAGCTGAGCCTTTACAGGTCTCCATATGACAGCCTGCGAATTCCTGTTATCAAAGTGGCGCGCTCCTACCAGTTCGCACCTTCACAGAAGTTCACAGGTATCCCAAAATTCAACATGAAATACTAAAATCAACTAGCGGAAGGGCAAAATGCCTCTCCCCTCCCCTCGAGCAGAAAAGCTTAATAAATTTCACTAGACCTTGGTTCCTGCGTTGTTTGTAGTGCACAACAAAGCCGCACAAATTGGGGAAGAGGGCACAATTTGAGCTCTGGAAGAGTTAAAATGCTCTGAAAAGTGCCTGGCTTCTTAACAGGGATGAACAATATAGAAACTACGGCACTGCGTGGTCTTTCACTTCCAGAACCTTGGTAAAGCCACATAGGATTTGGCTGTAATCGTACCAGACCATTGAGTTTTGAAATCATATTTTTGCCACGAATAGGCAGTATTTGTCGTGAAACGGTGATTCAGTCTTTACAGTATCACATTGTTGAACTCTGAAGCTCCGAATTCATTTATGATTTTGAAAATTTTCTCATTTTTATAGCCTTTGTTCATCATGTTTTTTGCACTTACACTTGGCATATAGAACTACCGACAGACTATTTGCTAACAGATTGTTAAGTCCAGACAAGTCCCATAGAATATTAAAATTTAACGATGGACACCACTCTAGAAGCCACATTGCCACCACCCACAATGGTCGTTGTTATGTTATGAGTTTGTGAAAAAAGTGGAACAAAAAATGTGAGCCATATTCACAGACCGCATTTCTTTTCTTGCGAAGCACCGGCCACGGGAATGTTGAAGGAGATGCTTTAGCCTAAGATAATGTTGATACCTTGCGACAGTCAAGAATAAGAGAACCGTGGAAATGGGAAAACAGATAAAGCCACAACAGAGTAATTATAAATGTTGACATGGAGAGTACTCAGAAAAAAGATTAGAAATATATAGACCAATCTCCAATTCTGCGTCTCAATTAGGAATAATTGATCGATACCTGGATACAGCGGTGCAAAAAAAAAACTTGGAACAAGCAAAAAAAAACTATACAGCGCTCCGAATTTGGCTTGCTTACTACTGTAATTGATGGAGCCTTCATCACCCGTGGAATCGACTCCAGGAGCTTCAGGGGTATCCACGGATATTCCACTCTAAATTCCTTAGAATTGCGGCGTTCTTCCTGACTTATGCTTCAGTTCACCTCAAAGATACCTCATGCGGTTAAGGTGAAGGCCATAACTCGGTCATTTTGTCATACTGACGCTGACTTGGGTACCGAAACCTAGATCTCACGTACTTATGTCTTTGCTTAGGGTCGTTTCTACTGATGAAAACAGTATTTCCAGGCATACTTTGTCTACATCCACTATATTTCGGTACACAAGTCAAAGAAAATCAAGTCATCGAATGATTCGACAGAAAATTTTCGATTTAAAAAAAAGTAAAAAAATTTCCGATTTTTTGGCTTGCTCGAATTTTTTTCCGCAGTTGTGTTCTAACAATAAAAAAGGCCGCACTACTGAGTTATGCATTCACTCATGACGATTTTG